TCTCTAAATATATGAAACAATTATTTGAGCACCAACATGATCCCACAAGTTAAACATTGTACATTGTCAAACTTGATTTTATGTGTGCAATATTATTGTAACATTGTGTAAAATTACTTCCAGGCTATGTGTGCATTTGAAATTGATGGAAATTCCCTATTGATACTTATGCCTCACCCCCAAGACACTCTATTGTGTGTATGCAAATTCTCCAATGCTTCAACAAAAAAAAATCCCATTTTTTTTTCCTGAATTTCCTCATTGTCTCTTCTAATGTATCCCTAATTGCCTATTGTTACACTAATAGACTAATCTATGTCTCAACCACCACGAGAGAAACTTCTTTTGGAAGTAGATGGCAATTAACATAGAAGACCCACAACTGGTTAAGGTACAGAGAATAGGAGACTGTGCAATGATCAGCCCTGAATGAGACAACTATATCATATCCGTACTCCCAAGGATCAGGAGTCACTGCAGAAAAGGGGAGTGGAAAGATTGTTAGAGCAAGAGGTGGTGGGTGACTCCATGGAAATTGTTTTATAAAAACAGTAGGGCAGGTGCACGTATGAACTCAGAGCAGTTGTGACAGCATACCCCAGCCTGTTCAAGCTAAGCTTGGTCAGGCAAAAATCCTAACATAGAGAAGGAAAGTGAGCATGGTATCCCACCTCTAGCTGAGGAGCTACTGGAAACTGATGGGAGAGAGAGAGAGAGAGAGAGAGAGAGAGAGAGAGAGAGAGAGAGAGAGAAAGAGAGAGAGAGAATCAATTTTCCATAAGAGCTTTCCTTAAGGGTGTGATTCCTGGTAGGTCGACCATACTTCAGTGGATGGCCACAGACTCAAAAGTGTAAAGCAGCACAAATTGAACTTGATTTTTCTTTTTTTTTTCGGTCTTTTTGAGAAGGGCCTCCCTGTAGCCCCAGTTGTCCTGGAACTGGCTATGTAGACCAGCTGGCCTTGAAGTCACAGAGATCCGCCTGCCTCTCCCTTCCGAGTGCTGGGATTAAAGGTGTGCGCCACCACGCCCGGCGATGTTTTCTTTTTAAAGAGGACACAAAATTGAGGGAGTTTAGAGAAATAGGGGTGGATTGGGAGGAGATGGGAGATTAGGGGTGAATATTATTAAAACATATTGCATGAAATTCTTGAAGAATTAAAAATAAGATTAAAATTCGTACTATAACTGAAAAAAAGTAAAGCCTTCTTAGAGCTCAAAAAATTGAAACTTGAAACACTTCTGTTCCCTAATATTTTGGCTAAGGGATGCCAAATCTGTGCATGTCAAGGAGTAGGCTGGCAGTAAAGGTTTTGTGTAGGGCTACCAGAGGTGGTAAGTACCCATCACCAATGCAGCTAAACAGTTCTTCTCTATTCTAGAACCTGTGTTGGTGGAGCAGATACTATCTTACTGACTTCATCTTCACACTACCTGAAAAGGAAAGTATTTTATCCCAGTCATAATGTGTATAAAACAGAACTTGGGAGGTGATGACATGGCTCAGGAGGTAAAGATACTTGGTGCTAAGCCTGAATGTTTGAATCACTGTTAGAACATAATCCCAATGGTAGAAGGAAATAATTCATTCCTGCAAATTGTGCTCTGACCTCCACACACATGCCATGGCACACACATGTGCATGTACACATATACTCACATACACACAAGTAAATATAAAAAAGAAGCTGGAAAAGGCGATTACACAGAGGTAGAATAATGATGATTTGGATGTACGTGTCCTTGTTGCTCTGGGCTATGGGTTATTTCAATTGCAACTCAGTTATTCCACGTTCTTTCTTACCTCTGATAAATATAAATTTAAATGTAGTGAAAATGAATCTTAGAAATAAATTCATGAAACCAAAATCAAGCAGCTGGGAATAATCAGACCCAGCAGGACCTTCCTCCAGATGATTCTACCTCAAGAATGCATCTCATGAGCATCTATTTTATTCATTTGGTGTCTAGGTCCTATTTGTCTCTCACAGAGAGTAGGATTATTGCCCCTTTCAGAGTCTCTCCTATTGATGGGGATAATTGATCTAACTGGAACTAATGAACTTGAAAGTTGACCTCAGTGTAACTTTGTTTTTTGTGGTAGATGAATAATTACTAACAAATGTATTTGATAAGAACCTATGTACTCCTAAAAATAAGCCTAATAATAAGTGTTCTTGTTGATATATATATAGGGGTAATAGGATTTTGGAAGCTTCTATTTGTACTGAAATCATAGAGGCCATCAGTCTGTGATTGTAAGAAAACACCTGCTGCAATTTGTCTTATTTGATTGTACTAACATCAGCAATATCATGTTACTAGGAAATGTCACAACTCTTGCCCACACTTGTCCCAAATATCTGCTTTTTGTAAAAACCCCATAATAACTTAAGGGACATGTATATTTCTGTGCTGAAAGTCTCAAATCCACTCATATGATTACTGACAAAGGATGACATGAAAAATCCTATAAAAACCTCTATGTATTTCTGGTCTGTGCTTCAGTTTCTCTGGAACAAGTTAGTCCAGGCCGGGGCCCCTGGGGAATAAAAAGTAACTTCCTCCACTTCCTGAGGATGGTTTGAGTTTTTTCGGTTGGCCAGATCAGTCTGTGGTTAATTTACATAACATTATCTTCGACTGATGTGATGGGAAACCATTTTTTTGGTATCAATGACTGTTAATCATATATGGATTATGTAATTATATTTCAGGAAACCCTAGCTGGCTCCTGATGGCAGCAAATATGAAGTATAAGCCCGTTAACTTTCCAAGTCCCCTGATTTCACCTGATATTTTCTCTCTCTACATCCACCTTGTAATTCTCCCCATATTATTCATACATCAGGCATAGCCTCTTCTAAGAACTGAAGATTAGTCTCCTCTTTGTGCCTCGATGGTGATAGTTCTGTCTGGAATGATCTCCCACTAGTCTTCTAAGGGTTGAATTCATCTTGTTACTGAGGCCACAGATATTTCCTGATTGCTATGGGATTATAGGCTGAATTCCCAAGTAAGCATTAATTACCATTTTATTTAAGCTTTACATATATCTTTTTATAATAGATTATTCATCCATTCACTTGTCCATTTATCCATTCAGTTACCCATTCATACAATTATCTATCCATCCTCTTATCTATCCAATTCAATTATCCATCCCTCCATCATCCATCCATAATCTGTCATCTGTCCACCCATCATCTATGTATCCATCCATTCATCATCCATCCATCATCCATCCATTCATCTGTCTATCCATTCATCATCCATCCATCATCCATCCATCACCCATCCATTCATCTGTCTATCCATCTGTCATCCATCATCCATCTATCCATCACCCATCCATCCATTCATCATCCATTCATTCATCCATCTATCATCCATCCATCCATCAATCCATCCATCCACCCATTATGCATTCACTCCTGCCTTTCCATTTAGCAATACTGCCACATCAGTTTCTCAGGAGTAGAGTCTACTTGTTTTTGGTCAGTAGAAGAAACTACTTCTGAATGTCAATGTTCTAATCCCTATACTTTGTGCCTGAGTTATATTAAATTAGAATTTAAAGTTGCAAACAGAATTAAGCCTGACCTTAAAATGGGGAAGATTATTATGGATTGTTTGGATAAGTCCAGTATAATCAACATGTCCTTCAAAGAGAAAGATGGAAGCAGAGGATTAATCATAGGAAGAGATGCAAGATGCATATCTGACTTCCAATCTACAGAACTGTAGGATAATCTTTGAAACTGCTTGCTTTAACCCACTGAGCCTGTGGGAGTTTGTTATAGCAGCATTTGAAAACATTACACACATGACACATGGAACAGAAATGGAAGGAGGAGACTGACTGTATGTGCTCTATGTGTGGATGAATTATGTTCTTTCTTATTTCAACAATCTTACCTCATGAGCAAACCAGCACTGCGGCCTAGCACACAAGCACTCATTCCCTGTCAAGCAGCATTTCTATACAAACTTCCCTTCCACTTGCTCCCTTCCTATTTAAGAGCCCACAATCTCCTTTCTAGTAGGAACAGAGCTGGAATGAGCACTACATTATTACTGGGAAATGGGTTACATTTGTGCCCTTGTTCATTTGAAGCAGGTCTCAGATGCAGAAGTTAGAGATTAATAGTCCACACTGACTATTTATTATCCATGCTTTCCCAAAACTTCTGCTGTTGTAGGGTTTGAGAATCAGAGAGGGAAAATGACATAGATCTATGCTGCCACTGGGCCAACACATGACCCCAACACTTGCTGTACCCTAGATTTCCATGGTAGAGAAGAGGGATCCTTTACTTAACCAGTATTGGAGTCTGGTTCTGTGCATGAAGAGCAATTGCTTGTAGAGTTTACTAGAGAAGAGGGTGGGGGAAGGAAAGGGAGAGGTAGGCAATGAGGCTGTTAGTCTTTTCTTTATGGAAGCTCCTTCAAGGTTGGTCAGTGACAAACACTCAACCTTAGTGCTAAGTCTTAAGAGTTCTAGGATGTCCTCACATAGTTTGTTTAGAAGAGCTGACTCTTTCCTGGGTCGTCTGGGGTGAAGAGCTGATTCAAGTTCTGTGAGGAGATTTCTGTGTGTGACAGGTCAGGAGGGCTGGC